GGAGGAGGAGGAGGAAGGCGGCGGCGGTGGTTCGACGGCGGCGGGACGGGAGACGGAGGATAGGCGGGCGGGGGGTTGTGGAAGGTGGATAAGCGGTTATGGGAGCCTGACGCCCCCGTCCCGTCCCGCCGCCGAGGGACGATGGCGCGGCCCCGCGGCGGGCGGTGGTTGCTGGGCGTCCTCCTCGCCCTGTGCCGTTTGGCCGCGCCGCTCGCCAAGAGCCTGGAACCGGTCTCCTGGAGCTCCGGGAACCCCAAGTACGTTGGCGGCGGAGGGGAGCGGGGGAACGGGAGAGGAGGTGGTAGTGGGGGGGTGGTGGTGTGTGTGGAGGGGGGGAAAGCTGCTTCGCACCGCTCCGGCAAAAAAACCTAAAAACGGGAAAATTATATAAAAAAAAAAAAGCCCTCTCTGTATAAATTGAACCAAACCGGCGAGATTTTGGAGGAGAAATCCCCGCGAGGAGCGGCTGGAGGCTGCGGGCGACGGACGGAGAGGAGCGACCCCCCGGCTGGAGTACGGACCCCGGGGGCAGCTGCGGGCTTTTACCTTGTCTTAAACAACAGCACCAAAAAAAAAATAATCTACTTTTAATTTATTTTTTTTCCCAATTTTTAAAGTCTTTCGGCTCGGAAGGGTTTTCCTATCTTTAAAAATATTTTCGATTTTTTAAAATGGATTTTGTTTTTTGACTTTTATTTTTTTTTAAATATTCCTACCTTTTTTTTTCTTTAAATCTTTTTACCTCTTTTTTTTTTTTTTTTTTTTTTGAGGAGGTTGCCCGGTGGAGGGGGGGCCACCACCGGGGCCGGATCGCCTCTCCCTTCTACCACGCCGACGCTAGAGTTGGATTTATGATCGTTTTTATTTTTGAATTTTTCTTCTCTGTTGTTTTTTCTTTTTTTTTGCTGGGTTTTCTCTTCTAAAAGCAGGCCGTGGTGGAAAGCCGGCGGGGGGGGGGCTTAAGGAGGTGGTGGTGGGGGAGCCAAATTGCGGTGGGACCCCCCCCCAACTCCCAACTCTGGGTCTGGGTCCGAACAAAGCCAGCGGTGGGGCTGCGGCTATTTAAGCTATATATACAGCTAAATTAGATATATATATATTTATATATATGTTGTATGGATGCGTACGTGTCTCTGCCCCGGAACAATGAGAAGGGGCTCTCTCCCAGTTCTCCCAGTTTGCTGGGATGAAGGGCGAGGAGGAGGAGGATGATGAGGAGTGGAAGGTGCTCGGCCGCGGTCACTGTTGGTGGTGTCAGGGGTGGTTTTTGGTAGCCCTTCTTGCTGGGCTTTATCTTGTCCATCGCGGAGTGTTTGTTTATCTTAGCCCTTTCTCGGGTTAAAAAAAAACCCAAAAAAACATGTATATATAATCTCGCTTTTTGCCTGATTTCTTCCCCCCTCCCACATTTCTCAAAAAAAAAAAAAATGAAAAAGGATTTTTTGAGGATTGAAGAGAGCTAAAACAATTCATTTGGACAACCTTCCTGCTTGGATACTTCTATTCCAACCACATATTTATTTATTTATTTTTCAGGGTGGGTGGGGGGAAGCAACTTTGCTGGCGCCCTGTGCCGTTTGGCCGCGCCGCTCGCCAAGAGCCTGGAACCGGTCTCCTGGAGCTCCGGGAACCCCAAGTACGTTGGCGGCGGAGGGGAGCGGGGGAACGGGAGAGGAGGTGGTAGTGGGGGGGTGGTGGTGTGTGTGGAGGGGGGGAAAGCTGCCTGGGGAGGAGGTTGCCCGGTGGAGGGGGGGCCACCACCGGGGCCGGATCGCCTCTCCCTTCTACCACGCCGACGCTAGAGTTGGATTTATGATCGTTTTTATTTTTGAATTTTTCTTCTCTGTTGTTTTTTCTTTTTTTTTGCTGGGTTTTCTCTTCTAAAAGCAGGCCGTGGTGGAAAGCCGGCGGGGGGGGGGCTTAAGGAGGTGGTGGTGGGGGAGCCAAATTGCGGTGGGACCCCCCCCCAACTCCCAACTCTGGGTCTGGGTCCGAACAAAGCCAGCGGTGGGGCTGCGGCTATTTAAGCTATATATACAGCTAAATTAGATATATATATATTTATATATATGTTGTATGGATGCGTACGTGTCTCTGCCCCGGAACAATGAGAAGGGGCTCTCTCCCAGTTCTCCCAGTTTGCTGGGATGAAGGGCGAGGAGGAGGAGGATGATGAGGAGTGGAAGGTGCTCGGCCGCGGTCACTGTTGGTGGTGTCAGGGGTGGTTTTTGGTAGCCCTTCTTGCTGGGCTTTATCTTGTCCATCGCGGAGTGTTTGTTTATCTTAGCCCTTTCTCGGGTTAAAAAAAAACCCAAAAAAACATGTATATATAATCTCGCTTTTTGCCTGATTTCTTCCCCCCTCCCACATTTCTCAAAAAAAAAAAAAAATGAAAAAGGATTTTTTGAGGATTGAAGAGAGCTAAAACAATTCATTTGGACAACCTTCCTGCTTGGATACTTCTATTCCAACCACATATTTATTTATTTATTTTTCAGGGTGGGTGGGGGGAAGCAACTTTGCTGGGACAGGGGCTCCCCCCGTAAGTGAATTTTCCTCCTTGGAAAGTGAATTTTCCTTCTCGGAAAGTGAATTTTCCTCCTTTCCTTCCTTCTGGAGCTGCGTCTGTTGGCTGGGAGCAGGAAAAGAGCCTCGGGAACTGATCCGTTGTGTGCTTCATGATGTCTCAGAGGGGGGAGGCAAATCTATTCCCAAAAATACCCTCTTTTTTTAAAAAATTTTGGTTGGAAAAAGAGTGGCTGGGGATAGGAATGGCTCTGGGGTGGTGTTGGAGGACGCTGTGTCGCTCCATCTCGCTCTTATTAAATCCTTGAGGCCCGGAGTCGGGTGGAGGTGGTGGCCATGGAAGTTGGGGGTGACACGGCGGTGGCTTTTCCCAGCCGTCCCCAGGTGCGGTGGGATTCGGGGGGCTGCTGGGGGGTGTCTTGGTTCTCCCCCAGTTTGGAGCTCGGTGGTTGTCCGCCCTCGGCACAACTTTTTCTGGTTGCGTGGGGACGGTTCCCGTGGGTGCAGCAGAGATCCCCACAGAGATGGGAGAAGGTGGAAAGTGCCCAAAATGTTGGCGTTTCCACCCAGAAATGGCTCGGCCGGGGTGGGATGGGCGCTGGGGAAGGATCCTAGGAGCCATGGTTGGGTTTGGCCCTGGGTGCCCGACCATGCTCCCACTTCTGCCCCATCTGTCTTTGCCCATGTGGCCTGACCCTGGACCTTGAGGTCCATCTTTGGGGTCCCTCACCCTCTTGTGTCCCTTCGTGCTCCTGCTTCCCATCTTTCCAGGTTGGATGGTGTTGGGCAGAGCCTCTTCCCAACCGCTCCCGCCTGGGAAGGTGGTCGAGCAACCCCATCTGGGGAACCTCCTGCTCTACAGACCCCAGTTCCAGCTTGAGGAGAAGCCCTCTCCTTGTTGGACTGGGCTTTTTCCTGGATGGATGCATCAAAATCCCCCTCCATGCCCCATCGCCGCCGTTAATTTGGGCTTCCAAGCCCCTTTGGTGGGCGATGCCGTGTCTGTACCAACCCTCCACCCCGCTCCGCCGAGCTTGACCTCTTGTTTTTAGAGTAAAGAGAGCTAAAGCCTTTTGAAAAATAACATGGCTAAGTGGAATTTTCCAACAGATAGAAGGAGAAAGCGTCCTGCGTTGGGCGGCCTGGCCTTGGCGGTGTCACCGTAAATAAGGAAAAATAGATATTATTTTTTTTTTCTGCCCTTTTCCTCCTCCCCCGGGCAGCTCGGGGCCGCGCTGACAAAGTGTGGGCTTTAGAACTTTGGTTGGGAACGTCCCGGGCAGGTTCCTCCTCTGGTCGTGGTTTTATCGGAGGGGGAGGCTGATAAGGAACCCGATGGAAGGCAACGATTTCCTAATTGAGTTAAGACCGGCTTAAAGTGCTGTTGTCCCGGGGAAACGCTTCCCTCCGGCTCCTCGGGTGCCTCTCGGGAAGCCAGTGGTGGAATCACCACCGTTTCCCTCTTGTGAATAATTCCGTGTCTCTAAAATGGGGAGAAAATAGGCCTAGAAAAGCTTTCGCTGGATAAATGGGGATAATTGTCACAAATCTGTGTGTGGGACAAACTCGGGCTAAATTAGATCCCCCCTCAAGCGAGTTTTTCCGTGTTGAGCCCCATGGAAGGGGTCTCGTGGAGCCGATCTGGTTTTAATTTTATTCCGTGGCGTCCGAAGGGGGTTTCATAGGGGGAGGTTGGGGGGTGGAAGGTGCTTTTTTTGGGATTTAATCGTCCCTTTTGCTGCTCGGCCGGGGGGGGTGGGTGACGGGAGCGCGCTCGTGTTGGGCAGCCGGGAATTTGCAGGAGAAATTCTGGCTCCAATCCTTTCTGAACTCCCTTGGCTGTAATTTTGGAGAAATATTGACCCTGGTGGGCTCCTGTGCCGACCGTTAAAAGGAAGCATTCCTAATAAAATATGGTTTGGAAAATTCATTTCGGGCTGGAATTCGCCTCTCCAGAAAGTATTTTAATAAGGAGGTGGGGGAAATGGGACACATCATCCATGTGGCTCTGAAGAACGGGTCGGTTGGGCTCTGCTTTTCTCTCTTTCCCTTTATATAAAGTTTTACTCGACTCCACTCGCTCGCCCCGTGGAGCGACCCAGTGACTTTTTAAAAGCAAGACATGCATTATTTTATATTTTTTTTTAATAAATAAGCGTAGAGGAAGGAGGATAAAAAAAAAACTCCAACCAGACGAAAGTCTAATAATCCTTTGTGGTATTTTTATTCTGTCTTTAATGACATTATGGTGTCCTATTGAATTCTGCAAGTGCTGAGTTTGAAGCCTGCTGTACCTTTGCCTTTTTTTTTTTCTTTTCTTTTTTTTTTTTTAATGCCTTTTACGAGGGACAAAGTGCTTGCGGGAAGGCTGTTTCCGAGGGGAAGGGCTGGCCCGGAGCTCTGCATCGGTGGGCTCGCACTTGTCGGAGCAGATGTAATTTAATTACCGTACCAGTGGGCACATGAGGCGCTTTGCAGTAGAAGGAGTTGGGGAAATTGTGAAAACACGCTGCTTATTTTTAATTAAAAAGCTGCGTTTGGCTCACGGAGCCTTCAGGGACTCCGTCCTCGCAGGGAGCGTGTGGGGCCGGGAGGTGGGTGCTCCTCAGGGATGGGTGACGCTGAGGGTCCCATGTGCAATCTGATGGCCCCCATCTCTGCCTCCTCAGGGTTTTACTTCATCTCCAAAATCCAGTTTGGATTAAGTGAGTCGGGATGGTCTGCATCCCAC